GATCTGCTTGTTGTAATCTGATCAAAGACAGCCCGGCTGTTGTCAGTGCTTGAAGACAACCAGTCCTCCCCCATCCTCCCTTCCTTATTCCCCTGTTTGTTATTGGTCACCGTGTTTATTGTGCCATATGCTGCACATGTGTAATATCACAGCGATCCTTAAGTAACAAAGGGCAAAATGTCCATGTTTGTGTCCACAGCATGAGCATACGTATTTTGAAAACTTGTAAGCACGTGTGAAACCATCTGTGCATCTGTTTATAGTGTGTGTGTGTGTTTGAGAGTGTTCTTGAGCAACTGTAATCTGAACCGTAGGAGTGAGGACATTGCTATGAAGTTACCTTCAACAGGCAGCTTCAGAGTTAAGACTTAAGGTTAGAAATTGGTTTAGATTAGGCTTAGTGCGATGGGGACAGGGAATACACTACTTTAACGTGAGTCCTCATAAAGATAGATGTACAAGCGCGTTTGTGTGCGCACACACTGCACCGGCCTGCCTCCCACCCTGTCATTAGTGAGGGCTTTAAAGCCTCTGAACTCTAAATCAGCTCAAGATGAAGCGGAGTCTGGGATCTGTCTGCAGGAGCAGCCTCGGTGCAGACTCACAAATATTTATGCACACACGCACACACATTCCTATCTTACCTGTGGCGCGGTGCACCCTGATAACAAGGTAAATGTCAAAATGGAGAAGCAGGCACACAGACAGAAACAAATACATTGACTTGCTCTAGGTTTTGGGAAGATGACATTAATTGTGTGCTAATGATGTTCACACTCCTTTTTATTTGAATGATATTTGTGCTGGTACTATAATAATGGATTGTACTGTAGGTGCTGTAGCCCTTAGTCCTAGGTCCAAAAAGGTCCAAAAAGCAAGGCCTGCAATCCCCAGTGTTTTGATTCTAAGGCCTGGTGGGGGTCTGGGGGCCAGGGGCTTAGGCTCTGTTTGTGTGGACTCCACAGCGGCGTGATAGGGAACAGATGTGGAAAGCCAGGCGGCTGGGCAGCCAGCCAGAGCAGCTGGGAGAAATTAAAAACAACAGCATTCCTGGAGACTAGGGGAATTACAGTGGGAGGGAGGGAGCGAGAGACAGAGAGAGAATTTTAGGGCTATGTGGTCACTGACAAGAGTCTCTGTGGAGTATGAGAGACTGAATAGACAGGGGGGATTTAAGGGGACTGTTCTGCAGTGGTTAGCTAAAGCTAATAAGTTTCAGCCGCATTTCCAGTAGAAGAACAAATGCCTAGATACACATACAGTCAACACGCGGGTATATGCATACGTAAAATGAGACCACGCTGCACAACCAGCATCTGAATGACCTTCTAATATCTTATCATTACATGGTGGTCGTCATATCTCTATCTGCGCTCGTCTTAAGGAACTAAAATGAAAACATGTGTCTCTGAATCTATAATGAGACCCTCAAATGACTTAGACAAACCACTGCACTGTGCACATGCCCGCGTACAGTATGTTATCTGTGGTTTTGTGTGTCTTGCAGTGAATTGTTTTTCATCTTGTTTCATCATGGCACAAGGAGAGAACAGGAGACAGAGAACATTTTTAGACTGAGGACTGTTTCTTTGGTGAGCAGTCTTTTAGCCCTGATTACGTCAAACATAGAGAGATACAGCTGTTCAGAGAGTCTGAGAAACAGAGGCAAACAGCCTCAGAGAGGAAGGTAACGGTTGTATCGTGCCGTCTAATTTTCAGCACAATATTCAGAGATATTTTGGACCAAAAAAAAAGATGTATTTGTCCCTAAAGTGGCCTTCTTAGTAGACTCAGATGTGTGCAAGTGAGGGAGAAATAGCATAGTCCAAACCTGAATCTTAACCACAGGTCCACTTCACCTGCCATGCCCAGCTCTCTTTTTATACTTCTTTTGGTATAAATATTTTGTCCTTCAACACGAAGCACAATTGGAGCACAGATGGCCACAGATGGGGATGCAGACCTTGCAGACTTCCTAATGTATTAAAAGTAAAATCCAGAGCATGGTGTGTACGTGTGCGCCCTGTCTCTGTAGCTGGTCAGATTAAACAGCTGTCTATAATCCCACGGTGGGAGCAGACAGACTGAATGGTCCCCTTATCCTCGTCCTCTCCTCTCCTCTCCTCTCAAAAACTAACCGTACACACTAGAAAAGATCTTGTACAGAGAGTGACATAATAAATTTGCTCAAAGACGAGGTTTACTGAAACATATGGCTGCTTCTATAAAGGAATAAGACCACCAATTCAACAGCATGTAATGTGTTTTTACATGTTTAGTGCTGTATAGAGGAGCATCTATTTATACAAACCAGCCTCGTTTGCCTCTATCCGCAACCTTGTGTGTTTATGTTTAGAGCGTCTGGCATCGGGCAAACAGCAGAGTGCCCCTCGTGTTCTTGAGGATCAGTGTGTCAATGGCTCTCACACTGCACACTCCAGTGTGGCACTCTTTAAATACAGACACCAGCTGTTGAACGGAGCTCTCAGAAATAGGCTAACACCAAGGACCGAGGCCGACTGAGGCAGGAGTTGTGTGTAGGAAAACATTTTGCAGGAGTGAAATGAAAAACACATTATGTGGTAGTGATTTGATATATTAGCTGATTACTATACTCCAGCTACACACCAGGGTAAAGGTACAAAAAGCCCAGTGAGTGTTAAACATTATGCTTCAGTAGCGATGCTGGTAGAGTTTTTATTAGCTCTTTTTGATTAGCAGAAATGCATTACCAGACATTATCGCTAACTGGTTATGTTTGGCTCAGGATGACATTAATTTATAAATCAAAAATACGCATTTGTAATGGCGTTCGCCACACTTTTCTTACATCAACAACATCCTCAAAGCACACAGACAAGATTCAAACATAGGCGAACAAGGAAAAAGCAGCACGCAATGTCAGAGAGACAAAGGAGAAACTTCCAGACTCTCTTAAAAATTCAAAATGTGTGTGTTTTTACGGCAGGGGAAAGTTCGTAAACTTAGACAGTGAATCATACGCCTAATCATTTGTCCATTCTTGTGAAACTGGCAAAGTGATGTGTAATTTTTTCCTTTGTTTGAAAAAATATTGTCTCGGCATGTTGCTGTAACATGGTGCAGGCTCCTCTGTGCCTCTAGTGCATTTTACCAGCCAAGACAAGCAGCAGATATGTGTGAACACACTGTTTAAACAGATTTCATCTGTTGCGCTATTTTGTGTCATGTTTAATGATGGTAAAATCCGATATTTCAAAACCATCTGCTAAGGTAAAAGCCCCCAGACTACCTTAAAGAAGCTGACTGTGAGTTATTGAGTCAAGGGACACTTTATTGACTTTGCAAAAATGCTGTCTGTGGCAAATAATTATTTGTCTCCTCCTCTAAATTTGGCAAATATCTTCCAACCTTTGGTCGTTGTCTTCTCAGAGATACTTATTGTCACAAATAAGTTAGTCTCACTTACTGTGCTTGCATTAAAATGCAGTTAACATCCATGATGTGCACATGAATGTGACATCAGCTCTGATATTGGCAGCAGGGATGCTTTAAACCAGTGGTATTATTTAACCAGATCATAAATGTGGTCTGATATTGTATTTTGGATGGTAACAGTAGAAAACAAAATACATCAACTGAGCCAAGAAAATTAAAGAAAGAGAGGAAAAGAAAGGTTTCTGTTGGCCCCTAAGTTGGTTTGCTTATACTGTTCTGCCAACTATATGAAGATCTATGAAAGCTACTGTGGTCACTTGTTTGGGTTCTCTGTGTTAGTGAGGAAGGACAGAATTATTATTACCTTTTTTTTTTTAATCCAGTGATGACAAGACAGATGAAAATAAGAAAAAGAGAGAAGCTGAGGGATGGGGTAGGAAGCATTGAATGCCACATAAAGTCTACAGTGTGCTGCTTTGCCAGAGTAGAGAAGACGGGCCTCTGTCTTAGGCTTTGTTCATGAATAGATGGGTTTACTTGAGTAATAGAGTTTTAGTACTCAACCGTATGCATAAACTGAGTGTTAATAGTGATTTTATTGTTTCTTATGACATGGTGCGCATTCATTGCACTTTGCCAGTCACACACATCATTATAAAATATCTTCTCAAGCTGAAAAAGTCATCACACTCTCAGCTCAAGTTTACATTGCAGAAGGATCCAGCAGCTGCACTGACAGTCAGACAGAAAGACAACGCTCTATAGATAGCTAGATAAATAGATACATCGACTTAGTGTTTGCAGTTTTTCACATGGCCGTGTTTTTGTGTAAGATTTTTTGTACTACGTGAGGCCCTTCGCCACTAGTGTACAACGTAGCGCATCTGTCCACGCACATGCGTGTGGCCATGTCACATAAACCACGTGTTGTGTTTTCTTCTCATGTCCGTTGATGTACCATCCATTCCCTTCACACTCCAGAGCTTGGCCTTGCCTTGTTTGGTCCTGGCAGGCTGTCTGGCAGAGGACAGTGAAGCCTCTGGTAGCAGGACAGAGCCCCGCTGAAAGCCAGTCCACAGTGATGGACAGCAGCAGATCCAGCTGCACTTGTCACTGGCTATCAAGCCGGCTGTCTGAACTGGGGAACGAGAAGGGACAGGCGGGGGGAAGTGTGTGGGTGTTGGAGGTTACAGTGGAGGGGGTCTGATTGGGATGTCACAGCTACATGGATTGTGCATGGGTGAAGGAGAGAGAGCAAGAGGGAAGCGAAAGGGGGCTCTCAGTCAGCAGCAGCTGAGCTAGTGAGCAGGTGTTTTATGTCTCCCAGGCCCATGAATTTCCATCGGGAAAGACAAAAGAAGTTTGGATTCATTTCCACTTGCTGCATTGATTTGTTTTTGTTCTGTATATGTGGGGCTTCTGGCTTAAGAAAACATCTAATGGCTCCCAGGTGAAGATGTCAGTGCTCTCTTTTAAACCACCAGTCTCCACTTTGAAGTTTTAGGTATACACTTTTTTTGTTTTTTGTAAAGCTGGAGTTCGTTCTTGACAAACTGTGTCTGTCTTCTCCTTTCATATTGTAGGTAGCAGAGTGCAGAAGGTTGGAACAATGCCAGATTCACCTGCGGATGTGAAAACCCAGCCCAGGTCCACCCCACCCACCATGCCTCCTCCACCCCCGGCTGTCAGCCAATCAACCAATCGCAATGCTTCGTTCACCCCTACCACCAGTAAATCAAGTGAGGATCCTTTCTATCTATTCCATCCTATTTTTAAGTAGGAAAAACAACACGTCCACTTTATACTTTAACATCTTTAGTCCGTGATTTATTTACTATGAGAGTTTGGACTCATCTAGAGTCCAAACTTTTTGGAATAAATTGTTCATAACCCACTGAGCGCTTACACGCTGTGAGAAGGGTGTAAGAAAAACACTGACTGGTGTGCTGCTTTGGTGACTTTTGAATGGAGTCGCTCTAAACCTTTATCTCATAGTAAACAGGATGTGGCTGTATGCGCTGGTGTCCAAGGCATTGTAAATGCTTCTTTACAGCATAGATTAGGTAGTTGGTATTGGGGTAAAAGCTACTTTACACCAAACTGGACCAGTTTGTGGTTTAGCTGTTAATATAGATGTCATATTTTAATCACAATGTCTATGATTTGTTGTGACTTTAGCCTTATTGTGTCTTTGCTAGGACTTAAAACTCTTCCTTCCTTCCCCTAAATTTGCCATGAAAACGAAAGTAGGGCTATTCCAGTAAGAATAAGAAAAATTCATTCGTTAAGACCTACCACATCCCGATCAGACTCTTCACAAATCCATACATTTTTGCAATACCTTAGCAGCCGTCTGCGATGAACTTCGCAGCCATTTGTTCTGCTTTTGTCATGTGTCACTCTATACGCTTGTGTAAAGGAAGAGAAATTCCAAATATGTGTTTCTTCACTGCTCTGATGAACAAGTGTTGAAGTCACTTGTGCGTCAGGTGTGTTTCCCTGCAGGCGTCCGTGTGTGCTTGTGTCTTTTGGAGTGCATAACGCCCTTGCTGGTGGGACAAGTGTCTTTGAGTGTCTATGTAAGTGTATGGCATTGTGTATGCGTGTGTGCCTATGTTGTTTACCAGCTGGTCAGGCGGCAGTCGGTTCAGGGTACATCGGCCAGGATGGTGTTTCAGTGTGTAGAGTGCTTTCTTCCCTATATAGCAATGGCAGACTATGTTGTTTCACCTGTTGTGGCGGGTGGTCAGGAGTGTAGATCTCTCCTTGCACCTCTCCCTCGCTCTCTAAAACCAGAACACAAGTGCAGCCTATTAGAATCACATGGGTTAGTCCATATGTGTTCAGGCCCTCGTTCTGTGGATTAGAGCAACAAGCATGCCTGAGAGGAACCAAAGCAGCTACACACCAGTGGACATTTGAACTGCCTATAGTCTTTGCTTTATCAAAATATGATGGAAAAGTATCATACCCGACAGTAGCTCACTACAGAGCCCTAAAAATACACACTGAAAAGATTACGCAGCTGGTTGGATGCTGTGCTCACTGTAAGTGCTGTCATATGCTGTTATCGTGAAGTTTAAGCTATATACAGCTTTAGGAATTTTAGAAATCAGGTATTCCAGCAAACACGCAGCATTCATACACAGACGCAAATATATTTATTTAGATTTGGTGAGACACGGGACTGACCGGAGAAGAGCATTTCAGGGGAGAGGTCATACGTGTTTTTGTTTTTCTCTGTTTGTTTGTGCCTGCATTAAGAAAAATACGCGAGTGAGTATAAATGTGTATGAATGCTGTGCCTATTCTGAACCTCAAAGCTGCAAATGTACTTTCAGCTGGTGGACATGTGCGAGCCCAGATTTAGCTACACACCTGCTACTGGAATAAAAGTAACACAGGCCATAGGACTATTTTTGGCATCTCTTTAACAAGTTCCTCATATAGTTGTGTCCTAGTGAGTGAGTGAGTGAGAAGCAGGGCGAAATAGACGGATACAGAGGCAGATGGATGGGTCGGGGTGGGAGTCAAATGGTACCACTTGTGAGACAGCTGAAGTTGCTACAAACACACACTCACGGCATCTAGCAGAAAATTGCATCACTACAGTTGTCATTTACTGGAGGCGTGGTATCGACTTTAAACCTGTTGTGTGCTTTATTTAATTCATCTCAGCCAAACACTCTTCTGTCAGCAGGATTTAAAAGCTTCTGCCCTTGTCATGCCCCTAGATCTGTCAGATGCCCCTCAGGCCCCTCCGAAACTACTGACCCAGTTCACGCCGCCTCCTCCTCCTGTCTGTTTATCTGCAGTGCTGAATGGGAGCAGCCACTCTCCTACATCGCTAAACGGTGCTCCATCCACTCCTAACGGCTTCAGCAACGGGCCGGCCATGTCCTCGACAGCCTCGTTGTCCAACCAGCAGCTCCCGCCGGCCTGCGGTGCCCGGCAGCTCTGCAAACTGAAGCGCTTCCTGACCACGCTGCAGCAATTTGGCAACGACATATCGCCTGAGATTGGAGAGAGAGTGCGCAGCCTCGTCCTGGGACTGGTGGTAAGTTGTGATTATGCTCGTGTAGAATTTGCCTGATGAATCTTTTCAGTAAAAACGTTTTGTATAAATATCTGAAGCTACATTAAGCTCTTACGTGGAACTTATTGTGTTATTTACTCATTGAGAATCAAGAATGTGTGCACAGAATACAAACAGATGTAAGCACGTGGAGAAGACAATAAGGAAATGGCATGTGTTGGAATGATTGTGCGAGCGATCTATAAAGCATTAAAAGCACTTTTTTCTTCTTGTTGTCTTGGATAGAATTCCACTCTCACCATTGAAGAATTTCACTCTAAACTTCACGAGGCCACCAACTTCCCTCTGAGGCCGTTCGTCATTCCTTTCTTAAAGGTAAATGTCTGCACATTTCAACAAATCAAGCCTGATGTCCTCTAGGTAAATGCACAAACTTTACTTCTCACTGTGGTCAGCGCTCAGGACAGCATTTCAGTGAAAGTATTCAAAGAGCAGTAAAAAGGGGAATCTATATGTGTACAGTGTGTACATGCGGTAGACATCATACTGTACATAAACAGTGGTAAGACGTGCATGGTAATGTCTGACAAAAAGGGTGAGTGTGAGTTTGTGTGTGTGAGTGTCAGACCTCCTGGCGTGCGATGATCCTCCACATCTGGGACATCGCAGCAATAGCTGTGTTATATCAACCAGACAGGTCTGAGAGAGCTATTTGACAGCACTGTTGCACACACGTTCACACGTACACACACAGATAAAAGACACACAACAGCACACCCCGGAGAAAGAGAGGGAGACACATGGTAGAGGAATGTGTCAAGGGACCTGTCTTATCTCATCCTGTCTCTTCATCTATCACTTTCTTTTTCCTCACCCTAATCTGGCATTATTTCACTCTCACCCCATCTATCTGTGATTCCACCGTGAGTTTCTAGCTCTTTTCCTGTCCACTCAACAATCTATGTTCCTACAGGTTCAGTAAATCTACAGCATGTCCTTCCTATATCAACTTACATACTGTCTTCCCTCTTTTTTCCACTGAAGGCAAACCTGCCCTTGCTGCAGAGAGAACTGCTTCACTGTGCCAGGTTGGCCAAGCAGACCCCAGCTCAGTATCTGGCCCAACACGAGCAGCTACTCCTGGACGCAAACGCCAGCTCACCACTCGACTCCTCCGAGATAATGCTGGAGATGAATGAGCATGGCAAGAGAAGGACCCCTGACAGGTAACATCTCTCTGTTTAAAAACAAGAAAGCACAGACTTCAGAAATGAACATGCATTGGCAGAGTCTTACACAGACTGTTGTAAATGAATTATTTTAGGGTATTTCAGAATGCCAAGCGACAAGGGGAGGCTATAAATCCTCTGTGCGGGAGGCGGAAGTCTGGACAGCCCTGATGCCAGACTGCCTCTGCCAGCTGTCTGGGAGGGAGGAGAGAGATAAATGCAGCATAGGAAAAGAAAAAAGAGAGACTGAGAGGTGAAAGAAAACGAGATCCAAAGGGGAGTGCAGGGAGCGAAGTACAGTACATGTCCTGAACATTATCCAAAGACAGACAGGAGGTCTAACAGAGCTATTGTCCCACATTTCTCCCCGGCACTCTGATTTATTCGCTCAGCTAAGAGGATAACACACGAGAGAATTAACTGACGTTTCCCTTTTTCATTTCTTCCTTCTTCTCTTACTGGCACTGCCCTTCTTTTGCATTTGACTCCTTCACCCCGCTCTCTCGCTCCCCTTCTTACATCGCCTGACCTGCGGGCTCCTGGCCGCTGTCCATATGTCAGAGACGTGTCCAGATGGCGATGTGCTGGCCACAATGCTGAGCACATCCTAGGCAGGGTGTGGGGAGACAGGTGGTGGCTATGGTTTTGAATGGGACTAGAGGTTGGAGCTGGACATGCAATCCCACTGTAATCCCCACACATCCTCTTCACAACCTCTGGCTTATACGCAGCAGGCAGGACTCAGAGGACGGGAGGTGGGGGTGTACAGCTGGGCCAAGGCCTACGTCATGCCAGCTATACCTCTGATTTGCTAGACAGTACAACCAGGGATGTGTACGATTATAGCTGACATGCACAATAATATAGACACGGATAACTGAGAACGAGTACGCACACACATAAACACACACCATCATCATCAGTGTTGCATTTATTCGCCTTTGATCCCCAGGATAATAAAGAGTGATTTCCATCTGAATGCCTAGCTATTGCCATCCAGCTAAACAGATTAATATCAACACTCCCATTTAAACTGTCCAGATGGCTTGAAAACACAACCTCTCGCACACACACACACTTAAAGTACACAGACACAAATGAGTGTCACTAAACATCTGCCAAACACACAGCATTCAGCCCATATTGCCCCTTAAGCCCAAGAGCAGGGTGGGAGAAATACTTGCAATCTAAGAGTAGGCTGAGGGATATTCAGATTAAGAGCTTGAGATGCAGGGTGTATGCTTGGACTTGGTTTTGTTTGGTACATATGGCGTACAGCTGTGCAAAAGCTTTGGAGAGGCGCTGACTTACCGCAGTTGAACAACAAGCACCTCTCAGCAGGGATACGCAAGATGTGTTCGTGAGGATGTATGTGCGCTGGCATACACCATATGGGAGTTGCTCAACTTTAAAAAAAGACAGATTTGTGTTCCTTCCTGAAGCCTCTTCAAACAGGTTTGACTTGCAATACTGGAGTCTTCATTTAATAATCATCCATCAGACTCTGCTGTTACCATTTGATATTTAACCGTACACCAAATACAAAGACACATTAGAAGACAGACAACAGATAGGTATCATAAAAGGAATCACATCTACATGTTTAGAGCTAGTCTTTTCTCCTAAAAGGAGATTCTGGCTTTCACTTTATTTTGCCCTCCTGAACTCTGACATAATACATTGGCATTGGATATCAATGCTTGCAAAGCCATCCCACAGTTTCCATATTAGTCACTGTGGTCTGGCAAGGCCAAGGATGGAATAACAAGAGAAACATGTAGTCTGTATAGAGGTTGATTTTATTCTTGCAGACATGCCAAAGTGAGATGATATATACATATATCTATCTATCTATCTATCTATCTATCTATCTATCTATCTATCTATCTATATATATAGATATATATATAGATATAGATATAGATATATAGATATAGATATATAGATATATATAGATATATATGAGATGAATAATAATGAGTTTTGTGTATTTTTAAGCATTATGACACTTGAGATAACATTGGAAAAAAGTTTTAAAGGTTTAAAGCTCTCTAAACTTAACTTTAAATAGGATACATTTGCAATTACTTTACCACTGATGACATCCAAAAAAGGAAAAAAGCAAAATAATTTGTGGCTATGCTGCTAAATCACCGTTTCCAGGCCATCTGGGCTCAGAAACACTGAATTAATCCACCACCCTGTTCTCTTTCACAGGACCAAAGACAGCTCTGAGAGAGATGGGTTGCACCCGGAGCACCTGGCTAAGAGGCCCTGCACCATCAGCCCCAGCCAACGCTTCAGCCCCAGCACAGGTCTTCCTGCTCACCCTCCTCTCAATGGACTCCCCACACACCCTCCCAATGGCATCCCCCACCCGCCAAACCCCCAAGTGGGACCCCAGCACTATCGTTTAGAAGACATGGCTCTGGCACACCAATACAGAGATGCTTACAGGCATAACGAACACCGCGAAGCCCGTGACAGGCACCGGCAGACAGGTAGAACAGCTGCAAAGCATTCATTTGGTTAGATAAATCAGTAATACCACAGTGACACTACACACAGTTTCACGGTCAAAACTGAGCGAGCTTCAGTGTATATAAATGGGGTGTATGTAGAGAACAAAGGCCACCTGTCAGTCCAGTGTGATAATCCTTGTGGCACTGTGTCTATAAAAAGACCACAGCCATACATGCCAATGTGATCACCTGCAGCAACCATACATGCCTTCCTTCTGGTTCTTATACAAACAATCTCACTGATTAGATATGAGCGTGTGTTTTATTATAAACAATGTATAGACAATGTTAGAGCGTGTTTCAGTGACTCTTCTAATTTGATTTGTGCTAAATTTGTATAATTCAGCGTCTTTATATGCTTTATTATGGGACTTACATTAAAATGCATACAGCAGGAGTTGTACAGGAAATATAAAAAATCAAAAAACAAGAAAATTAAAGCAGTGCGCTCAGCTAATGGACAAAGCTAACAACTGCTGCCATACTGACATAGCTAGTAAGGCCTAAGAAATAAGTCAGGGAGTTTATTTCATTATGTCGACACAGTTATTTAAAAAAAATGAGTTGATGATGTGTGAAGTCTACATGACAATAATGTGGCACAAACTTCTTTGTGTTTGTGGGTTTCTTTTTTTATAGCAGTCCACGGAGCTCGCCAAGAGGAAGTGATTGATCACCGTCTTACAGATCGAGAGTGGGCAGAGGAATGGAAGCACCTCGATAATGTACGAATCTGCAAAGCAGCTGTGTTTAATGACAACCACCTCTTTACTTCATTCAAATTAAAACAATGGGAGAGTTTGTTTTAGTGCAATTGACGGCATGCAGATGACAGGGACAGGAGCTGCTGATAGACAGTTGACCTTACGAGGTCTGCGTCAGTGCGGTGAATTAACAACAGACACACACCTATCTGGATTCCTAGCACTCAACTCTATGAGAAACCATGTAGGCTAGAAACACATACATGCACACACAATGCAAGAGTGGGAAACACAGAGAGAGAGAGAAAAAGGGCCCCAGATGGAGCTCAGGACCCAGCAGAGAGCAGCTCCAGCTGGGGTGAGCAGCTGAGACAAGAGCTGCAGTCATGGAGAGAAACCGGCCAGGCCTGGACCCCTGCCAAATTAGAAACACTTCACTGAAATAAATATAGCTAACTCAGAGGGGAGGGAGGTGGTGGAGAGGCAGGGGAAAGAAGTCAGAGATGGAGAGAGGGAAAGACGAATGGGAATAATGATATAGATTGAATGTCAACCATGCTAAACCCATTTAGCAGATCTTTCTATGTCTGGAAAGACAGGGCACTTTGGAAAACAGTTACACTGGTTATAATAAAGGGGGAGGTGGAGGGGGAAGGAAATCTGTTGAGCTGGCAAGGAGCAGAGCAGAAGGGTAGAAGGAATCGGTTCAACACTGTCATCAGCAGCCCAGCTGTTAAATTATCATCGTTGCGTCATCGTAATGCTGTCAGACGTTCACCAACAAGCACGGAATTCATGAACAAATAGGTCGAGACACTAACACACACTGCTCGCAAGCACACGTCTGGTTTTGGGACAGGAAAAGTGGCTCGAAAAGTGGCTCTTAAGTTTTGGAGAGGTTTTGTTCTCATGAGCTATTAGGAAAAACAATCTATTTAAAAATCTGGTCCCTTTCAAAACCTTTCATTTGAAACTTCCCTCCCATTAGTTTACTTTTTTTCTGGGGCGGAGGGGACCAGTAAACGTCTCCTCTTGTTCATTAATCACTTTAAGTAAATATCATTTGCCTTTGCAGCTCCTCAACTGCATCATGGACATGGTAGAGAAGACAAGGCGCTCTTTGACAGTGCTGCGCCGCTGCCAGGAGGCCGACCGGGAGGAGATGAATCACTGGATCCGGCGCTACAGTGACGTGGAGGAGATGAAAAAAGGTGGGAGCAACGGACAGCACTGCCTTCCTCCTCCTCCTCTTCCTCCTCCTCACCACAACTCCTCCTCCAACACAGCTAGCAGCAGCGAGTCACTGCCCGTAGGAACTTCCTCGGCTGCTGAAAGGCAGACAGGCAGACAGACAGGTAGACAAACACACGCAGGGTATGTTTGGCAAAGCAAAACACTCACGGCAAGGTAGGGCTTACTTAAAATGCTGGAAACGCCGTAATATATCAATTTAGACACAGAGAGTCAGTCAGATGATGATATTTACAGCAGATTTACAAATTTTAGCTCAAACTGTGAGGCATACAAAACATCTCCTTGCAATATCCTGGATCTTTAACCAGCTGATTGCACCCTTATGTCGACAGCATGCTCATTCGTAATTAAGATTTGTATTCACGTCTAGCTCCCATATTCCACTTCCTTCCCACAAATAGTTGGAGAAAGTCTATGGCAGCCTGTTTACTGTACTGATGTTGCCACATATATATATACACACATTTTACCTTTTTATACCTTTTTATCGATTCCAAAAATAGAACTGGAAACTGTAGGGCAGTCATGGATGGATGTGTGTTCGAGCAGATCAACAGTTTGTCTCCGTGTGCATGCAATCGACACTGAGTGTGAGCCTGCGTGTGTGTTTCAGAGATCCATCGAGACTTCTTACACAGGCCTCCCTCAGGATACCTCCCGGAAGAAATCTGGAGGAAAGCTGGTAAGAGTCAAGCATCTTCCTTCTTCTTCTTCTTTCTATTGTCTCCGTGATTGACCTCACACAGACTAACAAAACACACACATAAACACTGTCGTCATTCTTCACGGCCCTCACCCCGGCTGCAGACAGACAGAGCAGAGCAGAGGCCTTACAGCTGTAGGTCCATCAGGCCAGAGGATTGGACGTCCTCTGTGTCATTAGGATAAATGCCCTCCATCTGTCACCACCATGAAAGGCCACTGCAGTTAAAGCTGCAGTGAAAATGCAGTCAGTGGGCCTACGGTAGGCCGCGGCAGCACAGCACAGCACAAGGTGGAGTTTTAACTGGTCTCCATCATCGGGAGCACTTGAATTTTTATCCCACTTTTTCCACTCACATTTCATACACAGACCTTTGACTGAAGGGAATAAGAAACAAACTGCTGAGATATAGAGACAAAAGAAGAAGAAATCCAAAAAAAGCTTTATTTTTGGCTAATTTTGCCAAAAGGAAGCAGGTGGGAGCGTTGCACCGCATGGGACCTGCATGTTAGATAGAGCCTGTCCCGGGAGCGGTCTGGTTCAGCCCTTGTTCCACCTCAGTCCCAGCACCATTATTCTGCACTCATACTCCAATACTCTGCGGAGGAATAGATGCTGCTGCTGTCTGCAAAATACTGTGCTGCATTTTCACCGGCAGCAAAAGGCTCTTTTAATTGCAGTTGTTTTTCATACAGGTACTACAAGCATCCCGCTCTCCCCAGCACTAAAGCACCTCCAAAACAAGCAGGGTGAGTAACATATCTCACTCCCAGCATCTCACCTCCAATGTTTGTGTGCGTGTATGTGCATAAGTGTCAGCTCTATCTCAGCACCCTGGTAGTCTGTGCTGATGTAGCTGCGGCACCTCTCGCTTTTTTTAATTAAAACCAGACACGTGTTCTCTGGTCTGGTTCACATTGAGAGACTGCATTGCTTTTGAAAAATAAGATCTGAAGTGTGAAAAAGCAGACAGAAATAACACATCTCAGGGACTTGCCAAATCCCTGCAGAATTAAAACGTTAATATTGCCGCCCCCGTGTTTTCCATTAAGTGCTAATTGCCCCAGCATCTGCTATGCAGTCTCCTTGATAAGAATTAATTAAATTTGCAAACTAATCTTAGTGGTGCATGCATTAGGCCAGATAATTGAGAAGCTCGGAATAATGCAGATAGTGTTTGCAAGGTAGAGAAGAAAGAAGAGGAGGAGAAGGAGGGGTGTAAGGGGGGGGGGGGGGGAGTAGGAATAAAATGAAGGTAGTGAGGGAATGACAGGATGTGGGACAGGACAGACACGTGTGCCTTAAGTGTAACTATATGTGTACAGCGTTGACAGAATACAAACTTTTTTTTTAGCACAAGAGCGCTGAATTCACACAAGCTCACATAGAGCTCCATGCACACGCTGCCATGCGCATGTACACAGCAGCAAAGTGTGGATAAGGCTCCCCCTCACTCCCTATCTTTCTGTACAGTAGTTTGAAACAACTGGAGTGGAGCGGCGAGGAAAAGTGACAGTTATTTATGAGTTTCCCTTCAAACAAACATTGACTGGAGGAAATGTTGAGCAGGGGAGAGAACTGCGTCGTCTAACCCGCCTAGCAATCCACTTTAGGGTGTCATTTGTGTCTTTATGCGTGTGCGCACGTTGCTATAATTGGGTCATGTGGGTTATCTGGAGAAATATTATTCAATGTATGAAAATATTGCTGTCTTTGCTGGTAGAGCTGGTAGAAAATATGTTAGAGGAATTCACATCTTGTCATCGCAACATACCACATTAGCATTTGAATGCTAAACAGTGTGTTTTTGGCAAACTATTTCCGAGGCGAATGAAGTCCTACGGGAAAACATGTTGTGCGCTGCGAGGCCAGTAATGAAAGACCACAAAACGTAATCACTTCTGCTTCTTACTGAGAAGGAACTACAGGAAGTTTCTATTTTCGACTGCCATCTGGAAAGGAGTCTACCCACCTGCCTGTTATAAAAACAAAGCCTCCTTACTCATATGGTGGACTCCTGCTGGAAAAACAAAAGACCATGTGATGAAGCCTACATTGTAGGAAGTCAGCCGGTGGAGATATGTGTGCCGGCTGCGGGGGGAAATTATTCGCCCTTTACTGTAAACTCTTGTCAGTTTCTGGTAAAACTGTTCTTGTGATAGGATGACAATTCATTCAGGGTGCTTGATGAACAACCGAGTTGGTGACATCTGCTGTTGTCAGCTCTGAAAATGATTGTGACCAGACGTGTTTGAATAAATTATTGAAGTCTGGTTTCTTTTCTTTTTTTCACACTTCTCCTGGCATAAAGTTTTAAATCTTGGATGATGTACATCTGTTTGCCGCGTTACAACAAGACGGCAGCTTAAAGAGCCTTAATAAAGGATGACAGACAGAGCAGGCTGGATGGGACGATGGCCATAAGCATTAACACTCTCTCTCTTTCTCTCTCTCAGAGGAGGCAGTGAATGAGGTGAAGCGACAGGCGATGTCAGAGCTGCAGAAAGCAGTGTCAGACGCTGAGAGGAAGGCTCATGAGATGATTTCTGCCGAGCGCTCCAAAATGGAGAGGGCACTGGCTGAAGCCAAGAGGCAAGCCTCTGAGGATGCATTAACAGTCATCAACCAGCAGGAAGACTCCAGTGAAGTGAGTATCACAGACCCCCTACCGACATATTGCCTCATCCTTCTCTCATTGGAACTTTAAATTCCTTAATCAGTCATCAGGCCCTTTGTTTTAAGGCTTTCTTGATCCATTACCCTTTGCTCCACTCCCCTTACCTGTCACGTCCGCAGTGGCAGACGAGTGGAGGTTGGACGTAGGACCCAAGATGCAAGCACTGACTTTGATGAGAGTGAGCTTTATTGTGACGGAGATAGAACAAACAGCATAGGAGGTGGCAAGTGCTGAACCTAAGATTAACTAAACTGGGAAAAACTAACACAAGCAGACCTGAAATGGAGCTGCAGGGAGACTCAGGGAACCAACATAGGGATGATGCAGGGAAATAACTGCAACAGGCAGGAGAACACACAGGGCTTAAATACACACAGCAATAATCAAGGGATGAGAGACAGGAGGGGAACACACCTGGGAGAAATCAGAGCTGACGAGACAGGGGAAACGTAAACTGAACACACTCACATACACAGAGAACCAGACAAGACACTGAACTTAACAGACAGACTCACGGGCATACAGTGTGACACCATGGACAGAGAGGGAACACGGAGAAGTGGGAGCAGGCAGGCATAGAACAAAACCCTAACAAATGGCAAACCTTAACAAAAGATATAACAGAATAAACAAGAACACAGAATAATATAAAAAACACAAAACACTGAGTCGACAGACTCAGGACCATGACATTACCTTGCATCGTGTAATCCATGCAGCTGGCTTCTCTCGGTTTGGTGCAGCAGCAGCATGTTGTCATCATTACTGCAGAAGCAGTCCAGTTGTCTGTGTAAATAAAAGCAGACAGACCCAGATGGTTGGAGCAGAGTGCCAGGCTGAGGCCATTAGTGAGCAGTTGACCACCACCTGCTGGTAACACAAACCAGTGGCCTTGGACCAAGAATTAAATCCATAACATCGAATCCCCATGCAAAGAGGAGCAGACAAATTGTGGATGACACACACAAACTGGCTTGTAAATGCCACTTAGCTTAGGTTTTAACATGTACAATGTGAGAAATTGTTTTAAAAATACAGTATTCTGAACTGTAATGCATTGTTTTTGATGAATAAAGTTAAAAAAAAATGCAAAAGCTGATGCCTTTGAAGAACATACCTACTGTGCAGTCTTGTGGTATAATATAGTTGTTGTTTTATTTTCATATCACCCGAACGACACACTGTGTTACATCGTAACGATACTGTAATATTTTTGGGGAAAATAACCTGCATATTAAGGTAATGCAGTGGAGAAAAAACATATTTCCTGCTGGCAAATCTAGACTGTTGTTGCAGCGTTAGGAAGTGTAAACTCTGCTTGGTTGAGTACAAAATAGACTTATTTTTATCGACCCACTCTCTCCCTACTGTCTCAACAGAGCTGCTGGAATTGTGGGAGGAAAGCCAGCGAGACGTGCAGCGGCTGCAACACAGCTCGCTACTGTGGCTCCTTCTGCCAACACAAAGACTGGGAGAAGCACCACCACGTCTGTGGTCAAGGCCTTCAGGGGCTGCCAGGGGGCAGCAGTGTCCCTCTAGGAACCCCCTCCTCCAGCTCCTCCGCCTCCTCCAGCGCGCCCCCAACTCACTCCGAGCGCACTCCTCCAGGACCCCTGTCACTCGCAGCCCAGAGCAGTATTGCGGGAGGGGCCGGCAGCGGCAGCGGAAGTGTTTCTGCCAGCCCCAAAGAGAGCAGTTCCAGCAGTGCCTCTCGCTCCACAACTCCAGCCACCCCCGCACTACTGGATGCCACCTCTCGCTGACGTCTGAACTTCGTCCCTTCCCTGCATACCGAAGTGACAGCGCTCACACTCCACACAAAACCAAACTGAGGAATCTTCATCGCAAACTGCTCCAGTCCCCTCCTTTACCTCTTATTTCCCTCATATCCCGATCTGTAACATCTTCTCTTTAACCTGATGATGGACTTGTTTCCTCACCTTCCTCCAGAATACTTTCTCTTTTACAGCCACAGATACAAAGATTGTGGTCTGGGGTTCAATGTAGTGTAAAGCATGACGAGTGCAGTGTCTCCTTTCTCTGTTGAAGAAACATATCAGATGTGTTTGCTGAGAACATGAGCTTTGACTTGAAGATTTGCCCTCAGTAACGTAAGCATGGTAAATAATGTCCACTATAAGGGCTGTGAGGAGGCAGCATCAATGGGGGATGACTAGGCCGATTAGCACCTGGATAGGATTTCCCTTTAATTTAGCACCAATGAGATGAGCCCTGAGATGTGCACTAACAGTCCAAACAGTTCCCAGATGTGGGACTTTTTCTAGTATCCTATTGGAGAAAGGCAAGGAGCATAATACCTTTTTTGTTATTTTTGAGGGAAGGGGTAAAAGTTGGGATGCGATTAATTCCTCAGAAACACAACTTAGTATTTATTAAAAGTTCTTTTCTGGCTTTAAGGGAAAACAAAGAGAAGTCCAAATATTCTAAATAAAGAATAATAGCGATGATGCTGATGTTGATTATGATAACAGTAATGATATGAAAAAAATAACTTAATTTTGAACTGCTAACTACCTTGCTAGCGAGCCAAGAAAATCTACACCGGACTCACCTCTCTGCACCATTATGAACCCAAATGATTTCAAAGATGAAAAATAACATGATCCAAACCTTTGTATTACACTGCCAAAGTGAGTAAGTAAGCGATAAAGAGAAGCACTCATCTTGTAACCAAACACAAAGCAACATCACCTCCTCAGCAGATAAGCCAGCCCTGAGACGACCGGGCTGCAGAGGAGCTGCAAAACGGGACCCAGAGACAGCAAACTGTGACCTGCTTTGATGTGCAGCTGCCTCCTGCAGTCTGGGTAAAAGTACAGCGATTCCTCAGAGACGGCCCAGACTAGTGAATATGGACAATGCTCTGAACTTACCTACAAGAAAGACTTAATGAAATAGATGGAAACCCTGCAACAGTGTGTTTTTGTTTAAATGGTAGAGAGGACAAAGAGGAAGGAAAAAAGCTACACAGCCTCAAAGGAGACGATGGTGTGTACATGGCAAAGGAGCTGCCGAAACAGAAAAAAAAAACCTCAACACAAGCTTGAAAACATTGTCCAAGATGGCATTACAAACTATGGAGATACGTGGAAGGATTGTTTGTAAGTTTTTGTTGTTTTTTGTTTTGTTTTTAATTTACGCTCCACAGCGAGGAGATCTTTGAAGGAATTACCTTTACATTCACTCCCTCCTTTTCCAAAGCATGATAAACACAAGACAGAGCCTAAAAAAGGGCGGTGTAGACTTTGTTCTCCTTTCTCTTTCTACCTCCCCTCACCCCTCTCCTCCCTTCCATGTTCTTCCCCAACTACTTGACTCACATGTGCCCTACCCCTCTGCTGGCTTTAACAGAGAGCCACAAAGCAAGCCCCACGGGTAGGGCTGAACCCGCTTGTAGATATCGTTCCTCTCTTCATTTTTCAATAATGTCTCTTGTTGCTGATGTCCACACGTGCTGCCCTTGTGTATATCCGGAAAGACGGACTTTTGTTTTTGTTTTGCTACCTTTCACTTTCCTCCTTTGAGTTCGGGTTGAGCAGTGAAGACAGAGCAAGGACGCTTTTGTTTATGAGAGGAAGGCCTGCATTGTACTTATTGTTTGATTTGTTGAATCTATATCAATGAGATGGAAAGCCCTCTTGTAGAATATTTTGTATTGCTCGCATTGTAAGACAGTGAGAGGACGGAGGTGCAATATGAAGAGAATTCAGCTACTGAATGGAACCTCAGCAACTGCCCATAGGGTGTCATATAATATAGATACATATAAATATATTTAAAGTAACATCAGTAACTTAATGTGAATGTACATAGTATTTAAAGAGGTCCAAAAATGTGTTTGCCAAATAACAGAAACCTTTAAAGTTTAATGTCCAGATTTTTTTTCACAGTACATTTGTTTTTAAAATTGATCAAATTTCTTTTCTCTCATACAAGTTAAACACTTTTTCAATTTTCACTCAAATCAAAGTGTCATGTGACTCCGAGTGGAGGAAACTGTTGGCAACAGTGGCAAAACAGCTCTGCATCCTGCAGTAGGTGACTCAACAGTGTGTATTAATAGAAAGGCTCAGTGGTAACTCAATTAGTTTGTTTTTTTTCTTCTCATTTACACCAATTTTTGGAAATGTCATACTTGACACATCACGTCAAGCACTCAGTTTCTTACCAGCCGTTTAGCTCCAGCGCCCCCGTAGTGATCCTCTCTCTCTTGGTCCCCATCAGTCTGCGTGCATGTGGTTAACAGTGTTTGTTTCTCCCATGGTGCAGGATTAAGCGATACGCCAGTGTTAAGCTACAGTACATGACAAATCTAATTTGATACCCAATCTTTAAAATGTTGTTCTTTACTCCTCGCTGCTTATTGTTCATTTGTAAAGAAACAATTTGAGTATAAGCTGCTGACCTGGGGGTGGGGTGGGGTGGGGGGCAGGTCTTTAGTTTCAGGCCAAGAGAGTAGCACGACTTCTTTCGCGCTGTTTTTTCTTTTCCAGGCTTTCCCACACGCCTCAGCAATAAGGTTAACACGAGAATACTAAACAGTCAAAAAGCCTTGAAAAAAATGTGTGTGCATATTTTATATTGATTATTGTATAGCTTACATGCTTGGCGTCCTTTGCTTGGACCAAATGGGGAAAAAAGAGTAACTTTGTTTTTGCAGTTGATTTTTTTTGACTATCTGAGACCATATTTCAAATGACATAAGCTGCAAGGTACCCCTTCATTCGTGTGTAGCATTTATGTATGTGTGTTAGAATTACCATGTTAAGGCGCTGACCTCAGCCTATTTTCTTTTTCTGTGACTTGTTCCTTTTACCCTGATGTCGAATTCCTCCACTACTACCACAAACCACTGCTCACAACCCTCCCTTCACACTAGCTACCTCCTGTGACCATACAGCTAACCACCAGGAGAGGTTAACCTGGACTTTGAAAAGCTGGGTTGAGAGCAGACATGGACACACACACACATGCCCGCTCAAAAGTCGTCATAAAAGGAAATAGCGTTGTAGAGAACTGTCTTTACTCATAATGTTTAAATCTATTTCTTCCTCTCAGACCCTAGTGTCTCTCTTTTTCTTTTTCTTTTTTAAAACACATCCCACTAAAAAGCTGATACTGCTAGAATTTAGTAACAGGCACACATGCAGTCAGACCTCCGTATTACCAAACCGATCAGAGAATTGACCATGACATGCCATTTGTTGTCCAAAACCAATAAAAGCACAGACCAAAGTACTCCTGTATTGCCATAGTAGGTTCTGAAATGGTGTGAATCAGCAGACCAGAAGTAATAAAGGTTAGAGCTCAGCTACACCAGTTAACCAAAGTGTCTGAAATACACACGCTCAGAGCCCAGGAGTGAAGACCGCCCTCAATGAACCGGCTGAGTTTCAGAAGTGTAGAATTATTATTCAAGCAATCAAAGCGCTTGTTGTCTACATACTGAAAAGTGCTTCTGTAAAAATAATAGAAGCCTCTCCTTTCAAACAGCCTACTGATTGCGTGTTCTTACAGTCACAAAGCCTTGCAGAGATAAAAATGAATGCATGGTGTGTGTGCGTGTGTGTGCATATGGTTGTGTGTGTGTGTTTTTGTAAGTCTTTTTTTCTTTATGTCTCTGTACAAACTACTTGAAACCTTCAGAGCTTTAATGAAACATCCCAGGCCGTGTACAGTGGCACATTGATTCACAGTATGTAGCAGCAGCTTTTTGCAGTACAGTGACACGTTTTTCTATAACATCCACGCAACATTGTGGCGGCAGTTCCGTTCATCTTTCGAGCGTGCTGCTTGTGTGTGTGCCTCCATGTCTGTGAGTAAGCCCTCAGATAAACGAAACAAAGCCAAACCCAACAGACCATTATAAATGACCAAAACACAACCAAAAGCTACAACCATCTCAGTTCAATTTCGCTTTGGTTCTAATTTTTGTGTTATGTCCCAGCAGTAGAGAACGTCAGCTGTGATTGATTGCGTGAGATATGAGACTGCAGTTCGAATCTGCACAGGAAAGAGCAAAATTGTCCTTCACTCCTCCTGGGTTCAGTGGACAGTAGGATACAGAAGATCAGCTGGGGTAATGAAACAAATGCAATTAGTGCATTAGTGCTGTGGTGTCATTTACTTTTCTCTGTGAAGATATTATATATGGCAAACACATAAGGGCTCTGCTGTTGTGAATACCATCCAAGGGTCTCCAAACACTTTGCATTGGCCATGTGTCTTATTTGTTTAACTATGTACATGATATGGGCAAAACACATGTTTAGAGAAGACAGATATTAGCAGGTTGGTGTTTGTTCCTCCCAACTCCAACCAGAGAAGCTTCAAAGCTCATCAGATGTGACGCTGACTTGTCCTTCCTGTGAAACAGGCTCCAATATATAGCTACAGTAGAAAGCTAAGGTGGCAAACAGTGGATACAGAACTTGTTTTCCCAAAAGCCATGGCTCAGGATGGTCTTGTTTTTATCTTTACATAAACTGAATAAAGGTTTATGGTTTTTTATGTGTAGGGAAGCATTCTATACTGTAATGTGCAATACATTATTACAGAAAAACATGTTTCTGTAGGAAAGGATGGCGCTTTGAAGATCTTTTCCCTTTTGTTTAATTTCCCTCTTCAAACGGTCCTGTTGCCATTTTTAGATGAAGTAAACTGTGCCAGAAGAATTCAATTCTTATTTGTATTTATTTCTTGCATGCTTTCCTCCCTGTTGCTAATACCGCTCTTTAACTGTTCGCTCTGTTGGATGTGTGAAGCTGTAAAACATTCTAATTCAGGTTATTGTCTGTGTTGAACAATGTAACTGTGTAATTAAAACATGAAATGAAGTATTCATTGCTGTTCTCTCTTGTCTTTTTCAAATGTGGGAATATTCTAAGATTACATGCCCAGAAAATGAAATTGATCCATTGTTATTAAATAATTATTAACACAGTGTCATCATCCCAAATGTTGACATATCACCAAAAAATCTAGACATACCATGAAGATTATGTAAGTATATTACAACAGTGACACACAAAAACATTACTAAACAACTCTGGTCTCATGTTAAAGTCACCTCTTCTACTAATTCTTCTTCTTTCGGCTGCATCACTCCATCTCCATCTTTACACCTGCCTCCATTGACCCTATTCATAGCATTTCCCCCTGTCACACCAACCCTCTCCATGTCCTCCTTCACTGCATCCATGAATCTCCTCTGTGGTCTTTTCCTCCTGCCTGGCAGCTCCATCTTCAACATCCTTTGTCTGGTCTTCCTGTTTATTATTTCATCTGCACATGTCCAAATCATCTCAGCCTTGCCTCTCTAACTCTCTCCAGACTGCTCAACCTGAGCTGTCCCTTTCCACCCCACCAGCTGTTTTTTTTAGGTCTTTTGTGCACTGTCCGTTGGTTTGGATTTTATACTAAAGTAAATGTAATAGTCTGAGTAAATCTTATTATACGTTTAACCTCTTCTGAATCACCTGCTAGGTTTTTCAAGGGGTTTTGCAAGAAATATTGCATTATCTGTTTAGGAATGACAGCTTTTTTTTATACACAGTCCCACATTTTCAAATTGTTAAAAGTAACTGGCTGGCAGGCTGTTTCACTGGCGAAGTCTGTTCCCTTGTTAATTTATGAGAAATTAAGCAAACACAAGATTTGGAGTTAATACCAAGTGTTGAACCTATTTGGTAACTTGTCATGGGAATTTTCCATTTGAGATGTTGCTGCAAGTGAAGGAAGCCATCAAGCTGAAAAATAGACAGAGAGATATGAAAAACATTAGTGGCCAAAGGTGGGCAACTTTATTGTCTGGTACAGTCTTTAAAAGGTGCACTACTTAGCACTGCTTAGACGCCTGGGAGACCACAGAGTACAACCAAAGCAAATGATCGCAATATTCTGTCAAGAACACTCTCAAGGAGGCAGGTGTATCATTGTCAAGGTCTACAAACAAGAAGTGCCATTATGAATGGAAATACAGAGGGTTTATACTAAGGTCCAAACCACTGAAGAACAGGAGGGTCAGAAAACATCTAACAGAGCCTGAACATTTCTGGAGAGATGCAACCAAGATGAACTTGTAAAAGAACGATAAAAACAGAAAAGTATGGAGAAGGAGAGAAACAGCTCATGATCCGATGACATTACCTGTCCAATATGGTTATGGTAATGTTATGGCATGAGTATGTGTGGCTGCCAGTGGAACTAGCAGCAATAGTTTTTACTGATGATGTGACTCCTGATAGAAGTAGCAGGATTAATTGTAAAGTGTACAGGGCTATACTCTCAGCTCAGATTCAGTCCAGTGCTGCAAAATTGATTGGACAGCACTTCACGGTGCAAATGATAATGACTAGAATCATATTGCAAAAGCAACCCAAGAATTTCACAAGGTAAATAAATATGATATTCTTCAATGACAAGTCAGTTGCCAAATATTAAACAAGTAGAGTATGCTTTGCAATTACTGAAGACAAAACTGAATGCAGAAAAACCCGCAAACAAGCAGCAACTAGATGTATCTGCAGTAAAGGCTTTAGAGAGCATTTCAAGGGAGGAAACACAGCATTTGGTGATGTCCATAAATTCTAGACTTCAGGCAAACGCTGTTTGCGAAGGATTTTCATCCATGTATTAAAAACAAACCTTATATTTAAAACTAGGTCAGTTTTTATAATTACATTTGGATGGCAGATTATGTATAAAAATTGCTGTAATTCCTTTACTTTTGTGAAAACCTTTGAATTAAATCTGAAAGTCTGCACTTCAATCACATCTTGATTTCTTGATTTAAAATCCACTTTAGTGGTGTACAGAAAACTGTCAAACCTACCTAACTGTATATAAAAGATGTGACATAACCCATAGGTTTGGGGGCACAGTTTTGATGCCTCTAACGGTCATCACCACATCTAAAAATATTTGGACATATATGTTATCAGCTAACCCTAACTAGCTTAGTAAGGGTCACCTGAGCTGATTGTACCCAGTCCAGATAATACTCCACCAAATGCAGTGGAGTATTTTGAAGCTTTTTTGAAGCTTCCTAGAAGTAGCTCTCTGTTCTGTAAAATGTTATTATTTTTATTATTTTTTAATCTGTCCTGTCCTGCAGTTTTAGCAAGCAGACATAAATGCATTGTTATGCCAAATACATTTGCTTTGCCAAGAGAGGCACTATAGAGTCTCTAAAGGCTCATCTTTATAGTCTTTTTCTTTTCATTCTTTGTTTTCTTATTCGCGTTATTTGTATAGTTATACAGTGGTGGAGCAGATAGGGAGTGAGGGTGTGATTTGAAGCAATGCGAAGTATGGAACAAAACTGGATTGGAGATGTGATTCACAGACACAAACCTGGAGTGTTCCTGGGGTTGGACTTTATATTATCACGTAGGCATACCTGCTAATCAGTGAAAACTTATGAATAAAAGATTGTTAGAACTTCACTCACTGAAAAAAAAAAACCCCTGAGGACAGATTTCAGACTTCTGAAACAGATAGGTTATAAATAACATTTAAAAGAGGAAAGCTTTGTTGGTTAGCACTCTTGCCTCACAGCAAAAGGTCCCATGTTTGAATCCACTATGTGGATGGGTGCTTTCTGTGTGGCGTTTACATGAGCTCCCCGATTCTCTCTGGGTACTCTCACAGTCCAAAGACATGCAGTTCTTCAGGCTTAGTTAACTGTTTTTTCCCTGGTGTGAATCTGAGTCTGAGTTGTTGTCTGTCTGTCTGTCTGACCTGTCCAGGGTGCACCCCGCCTCTCAAACTATGGCAGCTGGGATAGGCTCCAGCCCCCCTGTGACCCTGAATTGGATAAGCTTGAGAGTATGGATGGAAAGCTTCGACAGATAATCACAGTTATAATAATCCAAAAGCCACCAACAACAGAGAGAGGTCAGGAGGTTCACTTCAGATCAGTAACTAAAATTAACTAAAATTATAGTTATAAGACAGATATATAGAGACACCCAAGTGTTGCTCAAAGGGCCCCCCGTACATAAAGTTGAATTGGGTGGTTTATACATACAGTTATTATCAGGGAAAAATAAACTACAGAGAGCTTTATTTTTTAAAACCAAGCAGTAAACATGCCCATTTCTGCTAAAAAAAAAATGTAAAATGGGAGTCTAGCGGTCTGTGTAGCTCATTATTAGAAACTTCTAGTGATTTCAAATGTATAAAATAAATCAAATTTTACAATGAAGAATGGGATGCGCAAATATCATTTTACAGGCTTTTTGTAGTTATAGTTTTACTAGTTCACTCATGTGGGTAAACTGTGGTGAGGTATGCGTGTGTGTGTAGTGTAGGGGGCAGCCATGGCCCCCACGTACAGTAGGTACGCCACTGAGAGGAAGAGCCTCCACACAAAAGAAAAACCGCGCTCACGTGCGCTCGTCTGTCAATCAGTCCCGCGCGCCATGCGCCTCACTCACAGGTGATATCTATTAGGTTACCTCAAATTGTGCAGTCGCGTTTGTTTGCGGACCGTCCACCGGGTTCCTCCCTGTCGGGGATATTTTTCTGTGGCGGTTTTGGCAAGCTGCAGTCAGCTTTGCAGATGCTATGTGTGAGCAGTAAGCATGGCGGAAAATCATCTGGAGTACGGCTACCTCGAGGGCGAGTCCATCGGAGAGCTATTCACGGAGGACCCGGTGAGCATGGGCTATTATTGTGCTGGCGGTGGGCAAAAAGCAGGTTTGACACGGGTTATTTGTTTGCTTGTGTGCTATATGTCGACGCGGTGCAATAAACCAAGCTCGTCACGCTAGGCAAACGAGCGCAAACGCAGTGTCGTATTGTATATCCCCGACAAACGTTGTGTGATAAGAGCACCACTGAGCCACATCTAAGATGCAGAGTGAAAAGCTGGGCCACTCGGCGCATTGTAGGTCCGGGTTAAGTGCGGTTATAGCTACGTTTTGTGCTGCACTTCAGGCGTGATTAGATTACGTTGCTGCCCAGAAATATCAGGACAGCTCAATTTGAACATGTTTGTTTTTTCAGGGAGATTAGTTCATGTATATGTAAATATGCAGTAGATATTGGGAACATAGGAGGGACAAAAAAAAATCAGTATCTTTGTATCACAAGTCAGACAACAAGCCTACTTTCAGATCAGTGAATCTGGGAAGGTTCCCAACTAAAGTTAACCCAGTAGGAATAAGCAATGCCCTCTAGCCTCCAGAAGATGCCAATGTACCTTTTGACAAAATCTGTCCGGCCTCTAACCTCAAACTGCAAATGAACATAAAAAAAAAAAGTCTAATTTTGTTTTAATGGCGCTGTTGGAGAGCACTAATTGTACTACTACCCATAAGATTCAAATGTTTCTGCATCTGTTTAAAAGTTTTTAATTTGCAATCATTGCTGAGCGTCTTACTTTAGTCCAAAGTTTCTTCAAGTTTACTTTTTTGGTTGTATCACAGGAGCTGCTGGCCATCAAGGCCAGGGTGCAGGAGCTGGAGATGGAAGAAGAATCGGAAAGACTGAAGGAGGAGGAGAGGTGTGATGCAGTGGACATGCAGCTCCTGACCAGCAGCCCTCAGTCTGGTGAGACAGCTTGCATCTCATCTGTGGAGCGGTGCTTTGTTGTACCACATTGTATAGCTGCATAGCTAAATGCATGCAAGAAGCCTCAACAGTGTATTTTTAGCCAGGTGTGTGTAGCATTACAGCCTCCAGGCAGGTGAGATAATCACATTCTTCTCCATCTGGCCAACACCTGGGACGCTTCACAGTGGTTGCGAGTGTTGTGCCTCATCACTGCCCAATGAGACGAAGCAGTGAGCCCCAGAGAACCAGAAGTGTCCTCCTCGCTGCCTGTGGCTATTTTCTGCCTCTGTGCGTCTCTCCCCCCCCATCCTCCTCTTTGGTTCCTGCTCTGAGCAGAGATGCAGTCAGAGAAGAGCCAGACTGAGATGTGTATTGTCAAAGAGATAATATTGGTGAATGTAATCATTGTTAGTTTCATCTAGCATGACTCATGTAGACTGCACGTTCCCTGTGTTGCATGTGCAAAAGCAGTGGACAAAGTCTGTTTCCTCCACAGGACCTTTCTACAACATGACTCCCGAGGAGAGGATAGACGCAGACAACAGGTCGATCTATGTTGGAAATGTAAGGAACATTCATTTCTACACTTGGATATTTTTGGGGGGGTGTCACAGTTTTGGTCTAACACACTGAATAAATCTCAGGTAGACTATGGAGCCACTGCAGATGAGTTGGAGATCCACTTCAATGGCTGTGGTCCTGTCAACAGAGTAACCATTCTGTGTGACAGGTTCTCCGGCCATCCTAAGGGGTGGGTTCAGTCTGTATTTATATATCTATATTTTATTTTATTTTTTTGCTGCCTAACATTGTTTGATCATAGCATACACCTACATGAAGGTTGGCTCCATATCTAATTGGTGCTTTTTATCTTTTCTTATCTTCACAGCTTTGCTTACATTGAGTTCTCCGATCGAGATTCTGTACAGAGTGCCATTGGACTGCATGAGACTCTGTTCAGAGGAAGAGTATTAAAGGTGAGGGGGTACATTGTTTTTTTGGTTTTTTTGGGGTGTTTTTGTCCCCCCCCCCCCGAATACGTGCAGATTTCAGGTGCACAATAATGCCAGTCAAATCTCAGTACATTTGTTGTACATGCATACTGGACATAACCCCACTTCCTGTTTGGAAGTGAAAATAGAACACCAAAGGGTCTTGGGTGTGTTCAGTGTTTGTCTTTTTAACCAAATTAGTCCTAACCAGTAAAGAGCCTCCTTTGTCTTGCAGGTAATGCCCAAGAGGACTAACATGCCAGGCATCAGCACCACTGATAGAGGAGGGCACAGAGGCGCCCACTCCAGAGGCAGAGGTCGTGGCTACCGTCCACCCCGATACCATAACAGCTCTCGAGGCAGGTTCCGTTACCAGTCGAACAGGCCACAACATCAAACACCCCACCCTTACTACGGAGGAGCCCCAGTGGGGAAAAGACAGTGGGGACACATGGACTACCATGAGCAGACATCTAAACGTTACCCATGTCTGCTGCTTATCACGCCACCATCAGAGGAGTTAGGGGCAGGGTCGAGTGGACAGCACTACCCCCAGCAGCGCTAGGTCTACCCGCAGCATAAAGTTGGAGGATAGAAGTGACACAAGTCATTTTAAACATTCTTCCATCCATTATCAAGTTGGTAATTATGAGAGGTGCATAAATGACCACAGTGATGAAGGTGAGATGTGCATAATTCAGAGATGTCGCTTTATTAGCTTAAGTTGCTGTGAATGCATGGGACAATCCTCGAAATGTTATGCAGTTGCATCTCTGTTTTTACAAATTGACGAATGTTTTGTGTTGCTGCCTGCAATGTAATCTACAAATTTTCCCCTTATGTATAACTTAAGTTCTTTGCTATGTATGTGAATAAATAAAAATGATCTGGTGTTCCACTTGTAGTAAAATAACACACAGTGATGTCTAACAGTTCAGTTTTATTACAGTTGTATTTCATAATTAAAGAAACAAGTAAATAAAATAAAGGGTGTGTATGTACAGTGGAGGATCAGCAGACTGGGTAAAAGATTCATCAGGCAGTTTGTACCATCATTCCAGAAACAATCCCATCGAAGGCCCTGGAGGAGGATCGATTATTGGTTAAACATCACTGTATAAATGGGGGACATCAAATGCAACATCAGTGTATACTCACTTGGATTGAATGGTGTCTCCAGGATTGTGGAACGGGTTACACATAACGTCAGTAAACGAGTTGTGCAACTTCCTGAACATCTGAAAATGAAACCAGCGTCCGTTGTACAGAAATGTTCCAATTAAGTCCCAAAAAGTTGATTATGTTCATCTCGACAAGACGTAATCAAGTATTGTGTTCTAGTTGTGTACAGTGCATCCTAAACTTTGAAATGTAAGGTTAATTGTCATCAGGATTCTATTTAATCCAGCTCTGTTTGAAAATGTGTAGATGCTTAGCAAACTCAACTTACACTTCTTATTTCATTATCCCGCAAAGATGTATTTGATGAGTCAACAACAATTACAAATTTCACCTTGGAGTTGGTCACATACCCATATCTATTTTACAAGTCAAGGATACTTGTGTTTTCTTCAGGAAACATTGAGACCAAACATTCCAGCTAAGACAACTTCTGCTTTTGTAGAATGATAAGAGAAGAATCTGGAAGTCTGGTTTATAAGGATTTCAGCATGGATCCACCCATTATTTGCCACACGGTCATCTGAAATGGTTTTGGTGGAAAAGTGTTTAAAGATGATTACAAGAAAGGTTGTCTAAGAGTTCAGGCTCTGATGAAGAATAAACGCGGTCATACAAAATACTGACTTATTAATAGCTTGTTAGGATTTTCCCAGCAAAATATAAAGAAATGGGCGTGGCCAAATACTTCTGTACACTATTTTGAAGAGTAATGGTTTATTTATATTTTATGTAATAAGATAATTAGTCTAAGGTGTATGGGCTCAAAATGTGGTCATAAATATTTTGTATGTGTAAAAAAGATTTGTGTGTGCGTAAAAAAGATTTGTATGTGTAAAAAAATTTGTGTGCGTAAAAAAGATTTGTGTGTGGACTTAGAAAAAAACCCCTGCAAGTTACAAGTACGGATTTTGACCCTATTTTTCTTCCTTTCATCTGATTGGTCAATGTCATGTCAATCACAAATGTAACAATCCAATCAGAGAACAGATGGGTTTGGCTGTCGGAGGGGCGCTTTTTTGAACTGCAGGTCCTTGAAGGGTGATACAGTTTGAAGCTGGAGGATCGCTATATAAATATCCGATAGCAGCTAGGTCCCCTAACTTTCAGTAGCTGTTGAAAGGAAAAAGTTGTGGTATATCAGTGGTTAGAAATACCATTATTACTTTAGGATTAGTTTAACACAAAGTCAGGGCTGACCCAGGACCATTGCTGTGAGTCACAGTGCGCAGCATAAAAGTCCTTTCACATCGGACGCAGGATGTGCTGCTAATGCTAACTGCTAACTAAAAGCAAAGGATCCAGAATTTGTTACGCTGGCTGCTGGGCTCTGTGGGTTTTTGCAGCAGCTCTACCTGTACTAGATGCACCTGCTCCTTGTCTTTTCTATCTCTGACTTTATGTCCTCTACAAGAGTTTGTTTTTTTTGCTGGTTCTTCAAATGTTCAATAAAAACATGTATGCTAATTCATAACGAAGAAAGCTTTGTAATGAAGACTGTCATTTCCAAAACACTGCCCGCCCCCACCCCGCGGTCCGCAGCGCTGTTGAAAAGGCTGTGGAAGTCCCTGTATTAAACACGTAGACCTGTGACACAAAAATCACCAAACTCGGACGACCACAGACTGTTTTCCTTCGTGGTGATGAAGGAAAACGCTGGGTTGGCATGTAAAAGGGCATTTATTCCCTTCAAAGACCTGCAGTTCAAAAAAAGCGCCCCTCGACAGCCAAACCCATCTGTTCTCTGATTGGATTGTTACATTTGTGATTGACATGACATTGACCAATCAGATGAAGGGAAGAAAAATAGGGTCAAAAATCCGTACTTGTAACTTGCAGGGTTTTTTTTCTAAGTCCACACACAAATCTTTTTTACGCACCCACAAATCTTTTTTACGCACACAAATCTTTTTTTACACATACAAATCTTTTTTACAAGTACAAAATATTTATGACCACATTTTGAGCCCATAAAGGTGAGATCATACTCTATCCTTAGTGAAAGAAACGTGATGTAAGTACACGGATAGCTCCCACCAAAACAAACAGTAAAATTACTTAAAAGTAAAGGATACACTTTATAGTCCTCTGTTGGGTAAAGCAGACCCAGGTACAGCTCTCTCTGGTCTCCCAAGGCTTTGCCCACAGCTGAGATCTTTTCCTCCACCACATCCAGAGAGGTGTGTACTGTGTAGTGAAACTTCAGCTCATTTTGAGTGGGAACACTGCGGATATATAGCGGGTAATTCTGCCAAAAACACATACAAATGTAGAGAAGAACAAGAAAAAACCCATTAAAGGCATCGTCTTTGTAGCACTTGCTCGGGAAAGATTCAGAAAACTGTAACAGCAGGTAATCTAGCTAATGCTAGGCGATAGCCATGTTGGTGCATTTAAACTTGCCGACCTTACAGCGTTCAGACAAAGCTAACATGTGCTTAGATACGTCTATCAATATAAGGTTAACCTATGGCCACAACACGGAAATAAAACCTGTGATATATAACAACAATCATTACCTCTTTTGCGATCACAGCTATGCACACCGCCATGTTAGTGTTCATCTTGTGAGCTGTCAGATGCGGTCACGTGATACGTTGCATTCAGTTATAACCCGTAAAGCAGGAGTAGAAAGCAGCCCCCTATTGAATGCCAGTTTTTCCTGTATGATGTATATACCGTGTGCTTAAATAGTTGACTTATAATCTTTATATAGTAATATTTCCATTTGTAAGCTAAATTCTATTTTATGAGATTAGTTTTTTTGTTATTTATCCGAATATTTTGAAATTTAATTTCGTGACAGTCAGATTTATCAGCAGTCATTGAATGCAGCATACTCCAAAAAGCTATTTTTTTGTTTATTTAATAACACTATATAAAGCTACCGTAGTCATATATAAGAGAAATTAAACTAGAAAAAGATGAAGCGATTTCAGTGAACTGTAAATAAATCCTAGCAAACATCTTAAGAATGGCTGTTTCAGGTATGCGCAAATATTGCGCTGAAAACTTGCACGAAGACAAACAAAACACTTCCTTGTAGCGGAGGCTCATATGACTTCTGCACAGCCATGGGAAGAATGGTTGCTCTAACTCTGATAACTTTTTTTGGAGCAATAATATGTTGTTCCTGGACAAAAAACCTACCAAACGCTCCAACTCCAAACATTATCATCATGCTCATGGATGACGTGAGTTTTTCTCTTCTTCTTTCTTCTATTTGTTTGTATGTTTAGTTACAATTTTACCTCAGATTGCAGTACTGTAAGTGACAGGCTGAGCTGCATATTTCTCGTTAAACCTGTGAGGTTTTATTCGGGTCGTTCTGTGCTGGCTGCAGCTGTTATTCAAGTAACTTATTCACCTTTACTTCATGTAAACAGCAGGCTGTAAACTCTAATCTAAATGTGACTGCATATGTATGGAGTGAGTAATAAACTTCCCTCTACTGTTCAGATGGGCTGGGGGGACTTGGGGGTGTTTGGCCAGCCTTCTAAAGAAACCCCTACTCTGGATGCCATGGCAGCTGAAGGGATGCTCCTACCAAACTTCTACACTGCCAACCCTCTCTGCTCCCCCTGTAAGTCAGCAGATGATGTAACACTGACATAAACCGGCATTTCTTGTTTTAGTGGATAATATAATTTCTTTCCTTCCAGTCTTCCTCCCTTTAACCCCCAACCAGTCATGCCAGATGGCTGCGCCTCCCTGAGCCTGATTCTGCTGGAGGTTTCTTCCTGTTAGAAGGGAGTTTTTCCTTCCCACTGTCACCAAGTGCTTACAATAAAAATCACCTTGAGGTGATTGTGATTTGGGTCTATATAAATACAACTGAACTGAATTGATCAGTTGTGCATTTTTAACGTTTTGAAAGACCAACTGATTTACAGATTGAAAGTATACATGTATCACAGAACCTTTATTTTTTAAATATTATAAAATATGTTGTGCAAAACAGAGTATACAGAAAATCATAAATGTTACTGCAACATCACCAGTTTGGTAATTTTAATGACAATGCGCTTGCATTTCTCAAGAAACGTTTTTTCAAATGTCCACACACTCAGCATTGTTAATATTAACTAAAAGAGGACGTCAGTAGTTGCACAAAACAAATTCGCAATAAGCTAATGTACACATCACTCTGGAGGCACCATTTTATAATGGCAACTGTATTTGTTTATTGCATTTAAGAGTTTATCCAAAATACTAGCTAGACAGTAAACCATTTATAATCTCAATGTGGGCCATTTCCATTGGAGCACATTTCACTCTATCTGTGTGTCAGAAAAGTAAAATGCATACTCAACTCGTCTAATGACATCATTATTTTTCCACAGCTCGAGCTGCACTTCTCACCGGGAGGCTGCCCATCAGAAATGGTTTCTACACTACTAATGCCCATGCCAGAAACGGTAATGTCTTTGTACAGGGTTCATAAGCACTGTGCAATATTATGGATTTTCATTTTTAGCAATGTCAAAGTCTGGATAAGTGTGAAAAATAAATGAGCATGAAAACTTGTCTCGATCATGCAAGCAACATTTTTTTTTTCTTAACTGTGTTTAGAGCAGGAAGCCAACATGTCCAAAATGTTTGCAACTGTGTGGCAAAGGCCATGACAGAGCAAGCTTGATGTGATTAAGCAAGCCATAAATGTGGTAAAAGACTGAATGCACATTGTTACTCACCAGTACCTCACACACGGTTAGAAAAAGGCTCTGCTGCTAATGCCTTATAACTATTATACATGTTTGCGTCCAGATAAGATGAAAGAAAAAAGCCTCAGTATTGGTATATTTACATAGCATAACAAATAAACACATAATAGGTTTGTCTGATGTGTAGACTGTAAATAAAACATGGTCTCTGAATATTAAAAAACTTTAAACTAGGGCTGCATCTTTTGATAGTTTGAATTGATTATTGACTGTTCCATGGATTCATCAGGTAATAAGATGATAACTAGTTTTGTCTTATTAATGAGAAATAACAAATATTACAAAAAATTCAGTGTATTTACACGCTATATTAAAATAAAATAATTTTTAAAGAAAATATTTTATTAAATAACCCGATGAGAAAACTTTGTACCTGCTACATCCACTGCCATTTTTCTTCACAATGAAAGATCAGCAGTAAGCCTCCAGAATTTGTATTAAAATATGCAGATGAACTGTTAACTTAGCCTGATACCAGACTGTTTAAATTATACAGCTTCCTGTTGGCTGACAGCAGCCGTCCTATTTTCCATGCAGTGATACCTGCAGCAGACAGGGGTGAGTCTAAAGGGGGGCATCAGGTGACCTAGACCATATTAATTACAAAACTTTTGTGACATTTTTCAGATTGATAGTGAAATAATATTAAATATTGTGTTAATTAATATTAATACATTAATATTTATATAATACATTAAAATTCTACCATCATGCACCATATTAACATCTGTTAAGAGAAGCACAAAAAACTAGCCTCCAGCCCCTCCAATTTATTATTGCTCATTAACAAAGCAAAAGTATTTCTTATCCAATTACTCGATTAATCAATACAATAATCAATAGATTACTCGATTACTAAAATAAAATGATAGCTTCAGTTCTAATCACAAATACACTAATAACAAAAAAGGTACACACACAACCTCAACTGAAACTTTGGTCTGCCTTCTTGGACAGCTTTCTTACATTAGTAGGAGGTAAAAAGATTTCAGATAGTATTGTATTTTCTGGATGCGATAGATAAGGTGTGTGTTCAAATGTATGTGTATTTGTGCATGTGTGTGTCTGCATGTTTAAGTGGTGAATGACTGAGCATGTGGTGGTTGCAATGAAGAAAAGCGAACATATCAAAATTCTCAGAACTAAGACTTGACCTGCACTTTGATGCAACGTTTCCTGCTGCTGAAAACAGATGTTCCGAAGATGTTAATAATTAATGTTAATAATTGAAGTTAATTATAGCCTAAAGTCCCACTTACATCAGTTACATCACCTGGTTTTTCAGTCAGAGCCACGGAGCCACCCCAATGCCCACTGCATTAGTTTAAATAGCCAATAGCTTGGAGGCTTCAAATCAGGAGTCCAAAAATGGACAGATGTCATAGGGGGTAGAGCTATCTTTTAAATACAGTCCGATATGAAAATATTATTAATAATAAAAAAAGGCTTACTTTGTAGTGAGTTTCTTAGTTACAATATAAAATAGACTAAAAGATATGCGACGGGTGGGGTTGTTAATATAATATTTTAGTTTTTAAGCATAGATCATTCAGTAAGACAGCTCTTGTACTTCACTTCCTCTTGCTGTTCGTCCTTGTTGCTCACTGGTTTAGTTCTGCAGCTTGGTGTTAAACCCAGACAAGCGCACTGCAGCCACCCTATCTTGAGCTGCAGTCCTTAGATAATTATTTCACAACATAACAGCATGTTTGGACAAAATGTAATAATAATGAGACAAAGAGGAAGAAGAAATAATTTATTCATCCCAAAAGAAAAACAACAGCTCAATAAAATAAATAGAAACAAAGTCGAGGGCGAAAAGTATACAAAAGAAATAGCTTATTTACACAGATATTAACAAAAACCTGAAGTAATTAAATAATAATGAAGTAATAATTATTAACTAACAATAATAATTAAGTCATTATTTCAAAATCTACAATAAAAAGCTTCTATCTAAAATTGACATAGGCATTGTGGGATGAGACTTTCCACATTTATGTGCCAGTGGAGCCCAAATATGCTAAAGAAAGTGCTCCGGGGACATTTTTCTAAATGTCTTATACCCATGTTGGGACTTGGGTTGTAGAACCATTTAGTTACATATATTGAAAGGTAGTTGTTTTGTTTTGTTTTTGTCTAAAAAGTCTCCCTAGAAGTTTGGAAAGTGGAATAGTGAGTGCATTTGCATTGTGCAAATAATTTCTTGCTGATTTCTCACTGCATTATCTATACTGTGCAGTTTACAGTATAGTTGCAGCAAAGGAAAGTTCAGTACCTTAAATCTGGATCTATTTTTTGCAGCATACACACCACAGGATATAGTAGGAGGTATATCCAAGGATGAGATTTTGTTACCCCAGCTGCTGAAGACAAAGGGCTATGTCAGCAAGATAGTTGGGAAATGGTGAGCTCTTTATCTTTTCTCAGGTTTTAAAGTCTCTGAAGGTTTAGAGAGCAGTGATCAGTTGTGGAAGGAGTGCTGGTGGAAGTATATGGTGCAGTATATTTGCAAATATACAAAAAAGAGTGTTTATTTTCTTATTTCTTCTTCTTTTCTTTAAGTAAGATTACATAGACTTTCTGTGCAGCTAAGATGAGAACAAAGTCTTCCTGATGCCACCATCATATTTTGTTAGTCATTAAAGCAGATGCACAGTGTCAAGTTTTAAGCCTCTAAAATGTGAAAATTTGTCTACATAGTATACTGTGAAGAACTGTAAGTATTTGCATCCAAACAGAAAAAAAACTGCATTCAGCCTTTAGAAAAAAAATATCAGGGCAAGAATATCTGACTTTATAGCTAGGGCTTAGGAGTAAATATACAAAAACATATGGGTTGATCTTCAGCTACACTGATCTTAGTGTGTGAATGCACTTTATTTGTCGCTATAGGCACCTGGGCCACAGACCACAGTATCTTCCTCTGAAGAACGGTTTTGATGAATGGTTTGGTTCACCAAACTGCCACTTTGGCCCTTATAACGACGAGTCGATACCAAACATCCCTGTCTACAACAACTCTGAGATGCTCGGCAGGTAATATCACACACAAACACACAGCAAGGCTGAAAATCTATATACAAATCTCCTTCCCCATGACTCAGTGGAATAGTTTGGCTGTCTGCTCCTCAGGATGAGTTGAGTGTCTTCCCCCCCGCCCTTCTTCCTTCTTTGTACCAGCTGTGCTTGTGTATTCCATTTTCCGCCCATTTGTTTTCCCCAAAACAGCCATATGTGTATTCAGGGTCATTGGAACTGGCAGCCGGGCGTGTTTTTCGCTTAGCCATGGGTTTAATCAGCACTGCATACCTGGGCCCTGGACAGAAGCACACACACACGTAGGCACATATACAGGGAGACACACACATGCCCTCAAGAGACGGCAGGTTGCGTTGGCTGTGTGCGAGGACACCTGGAGGAAGTGAAGCGTAAGAAAGAGATGCCTGTCACTGCTTCTCTGTTTGCCGCGCCACGCTTCAGCAGCGCCTCATAACAGTTCCCTCTGCTCAGCTTCGCTGACACTTCCCAAATATGGCTTTCACCAAAATTTCCTGCAAACACCCTCAACAGGAGGGAAATTTACTTCCTTTCTCCTAATCACATAGTCCACAGTAGTTTCAGTCAGTTTGGAGGCAGACTGATGACACAATCAGGTTACTGCTAAATCTTTTTTTAACACAGACGATAAATAGACCAGCTTGACCTTAGCTATTATTCAGATGGGACGAAGGTGTTGTCAATGAAATGTATACATTTGTTATTTTTTTCAGATTCTATGAGGACTTTAAGATTGACAGAGAGACTGGAGAGTCAAACCTCACACAGATCTACCTGATGGTAAGCGAAGGATCAGCTGTTGTTGCTGTCTCAGTGTGACATACTCATACCAGGTACATCACATTTTGATGCAATGTTTTGTAAAGCAGTTGACAGAACGGTCCTGCCTGTGTTAAACTAGCAACTTGTTAACCCACCTTTTGTCTTCTGGGAGCCTATCCCAGCTCTCATAGGGCGGGGACAAAATGTTACTGCCTGCCAGAATACAGAATTTTACCTTGGCTCACCCAAATATGAAAAAATTAAAAACATATAATTGAAAATAAATAATGAATGCAGGTAAAGCCTAATTCTGGCCTTTAATAATTACTGTAATTTAACCAGAGGAAGTGCACTGATTATCTCTGCTGCGGCAGTCCTTCCCATTCAGTTTGGAACATGATCAAAACCAGCATGCAGAGACACACTGCATGTTGGAAGGGTGTGTCATCACTGGAAGAGGGCGGTCCTGTGAAAGGCAGCATGTCTTAAAACTTGGTGAACATTAAGCAAAAATCAGATTTCTTTTTGTAACTGTTAAGTTTTGTTTGGATAACTGGCAAATTTGCAGTCATCTACTGTAAAATATTTATCTGTGTGCAAAACGATTGTCTCTTTTTGTAATAAAGAACAATTGGTGCAAATGTAAGTGTCTGAAATGTAGTTAGCAAAGCGTTTTAGATTAATTGTAACCATCCTTTTCCTGGGTTACAAGCTCAGTTTTCAGTGTTTCAGTGTTAATAAACTGCTAAAACTACAATACAGTATTGTGCCTACATGACAGTTAGAATGTGTGTTTTTGTTGAAACTGTTGAAACTGTTTTGCATTGTATCAAGAGATGTTCCTCAGTTTGCTTTTGTTGATTTCAACAGGCTAGACAACACGTTGGAGACTCCTTAGTACAACAATACCTAAGAAGGCTGATGAGTCTCTATCTAAAACAGTTTAAACAAAAACTGAACTCCATGCTCTCTGCTTGGAGGCGGTTTTATTGAAGGCTTGTCTGACTCACTGCTTTACTTGAAAACACTGTTTGAGTGTTTAGTGAGTGAGAAAGAGAATTCTTCTTACCTTAACTGCAATGCTGTGAAAGAGGCTGCAGTAAGTCTCCTGGCTTTTGTATTCTCAGTGTAATGACGTATTCTTCCACCTCTGCAGGAAGGTCTTGACTTCATACTTCGTCAAACTAAAGCTCAGCAGCCCTTCTTCCTCTACTGGGCAGTCGATGCCACTCACGCACCCGTCTATGCCTCCAAACGCTTCTTAGGGAAGAGCCAGCGAGGCCGGTACATTTTATCCTGCTGACTCTCCTATTGACGCAAAGACAATGTCATGCAAGTGGTTATAAATGATTGTATCAAGGTGAAAAACGTGATCTGCCTTTGTGCTGCAGCTATGGCGATGCGGTGATGGAGCTGGACTACAGCATCGGTCAGATTTTGAAGTGGCTGCGAACTCTTGGTATTGACAATAATACCTTTGTCTTCTTCACCTCAGACAACGGTGCAGCTGTTATGTCTGGCCCCAATGAAAGTAGGCAATTATTTCATAAACAAAGTGCTTTTTTTAAAATCTAATTCTGACTCGCTTTTGTGTCCCGTGTGATTGATGCAGGTGTTTTTGTGGTTTTTGACTCCTCAGGTGGCAGCAACGGACCCTTCCTCTGTGGGAAGGAGACCACCTTTGAGGGAGGCATGAGGGAGCCTGCCATTGCTTGGTGGCCTGGGCACATCAAAGAAGGCTCAGTAAGAAAGCCCCAGTCATTAGAGCTTTTGCCAAATAAAGCATGAAAAACCCCACAATAAAATACAACACGTGCTCTCGAGAGGCTAGTCTAATCTTAGTCCAGGCACCCAGAGGACAGCTTATTATTCTATGCTTTGTTGTTCCCTGACTTTCTGCCAATCAGATTGTACCAGGAGCTGAAAATGTGAAGCAAGTTATGTATAAAGGAATTATTTTACTCGTTCTCTCTTTCAAACAATCATTGTTTTTTTGTTTATGTATCAATTAGCTATTTACACATACACAATTTGATCCACTGGCGTCAATTAATCCCGACTGTGTCCAGCTTCTGTCAAACAGAGCCGAACTCCAGAAAGCCAGACTGTGATTTTGGCCACAAAGCAAGTGGGAGCCTTTTTCTACTGTTTCCTAAAATATTTCTGGAATTAATGCCCCAACCCCCCCTCCTCACATTCCCCAATTTAACCCCCCACCCACACTGTGATCCCCTAAGCCTGTGCGTTCTGCAAATGACTTTTAATTGTATTAGGGGCAGCTGTGACACGGGGCTGTGACGCAGAGGGATTTTGTGGAGGAGCAAGCGGAGGCTGCAGTCTGCAGTAAGCCTTGCCCCTGGCTCATCTCACAGGGTTGTGCTGGGGCCTGATAGCACAGCAGAGTAGCGAGGGAGAGGGGGATTGGGAGCGTCTTAAGCGGCTAATCTGTTTGTGTGTTTGCTGAGGTTGGATTGAGCCGTAATGAGGACTTCAGTATCTGAATATGCCAGGCGCTCAGGATAAAGGAACGGGAGGGGGTGGGGGGGTTGGAGGGAAAGAGGCAAGGAAGAAGTAAAAGAGGTGGCTGGTGTAGAAAAGAGAAAAGGGGGAAGAGTGCTAAAGATTGCAGCACTGCCACACTGCCAGGATGGTTTTAGCGTTTGTAAGGCTTTGCCTGCACCTGTGCCATGTTCTAATTGACCAGTGTGCCTCTATATGCACATGCAAGGGTGCAGAACATGTCGGTGTAATTTCTGTTAGCTCCACACAACTATATGTGCACGTTTGTTTGAATGAGAGAGAGCTTTCTAACCTTAAAACACCTGTGTGTGTGTGTGTGTGTGTGTGTGTGTGTGTGTGTGTGTGTGTGTGTGTGTGTGTGTGTGTGTGTGTAGTTGTAATGACTTGACTCGAGTTTTAGTAGAAAGGGGACTGTAGATCCTGAAATATCCAGGGATGTGATGACAAGGCTATTGTGCTGGAGTTACTGTGCTCTATAGCTCTGGATTTATCACTTTGTGTCACTTGGGAGGAAGGATAACAGATACAAGATTGTCCCCCTGTCTTTATTTTGTAGTCTTTTCAAATCTCTGTTGATGGGTACTTTGAAAAGTCTGTAAACCCTCTGAACAAAATTCTGGAGACAAGTTACCAAGCTGGCAAGCTTTTCTTAAATGGGGGGATTTATTAGGTTTATTGTAGTGACCCAACACAGAACACAGGAGAAAGTTTTTGGAGCATTTGGGAATTGGAGACAAAAATACTATTTCAACAGTTAGCATTGTGTCTGCTGTCATCTTGGTTTATTTATTTATTATTATTTATAAAGAACATGCGATACCAGAATTTTAATTTAGTTTAATTTATTTTTATTGATAGTGCGCCAAATCACAACAACAGTTACCTTAAGGTGACCACATTAAAAACTCCAGATGGCACAAACATTAAAACAGTCAAGAGATCCAGTTCAGTGAGTTGAACTGGTGGAGGTTAAACCCAGCAGATAGACAGCAGACTGGTTGGCTGTAGATAGAGCATAGCTTTAGGCCTTGATACAGTTCAAACAGGCGAGTTCAGACACATCCTGCATACAGTTATCAGCCTGTTCACATATTAAATTTAGCTAGAAAGTTAGAGATGTTAATATGGCAGTCCACGGGGATTGACTCAGAACTGCAGGTTTTGTGGGGTTTCTCCATTGGCTTCGTTTACATGAGCTTGGTATTTCCATGCCTATTAATAGAAAATAAAGCCTGTTATCAGTGAATGAATATGAGTGATGACTCAATTAAACTGACACGAGTCTGAGTGCAGGTGAATGTTTTTGATTAGTCATTCACTTACTGTATATTTTGGAGGATGGAAGGAGCAGATCTGAGATGAGGGCGCACGGGTGCTCTGAAGCATTCTCCCTGTGCCTGAGGGCAGGTGAGGGGCTGCATGGTGGCTACAGGAACAGAGATTGGGAGGTGGGTGGGCTGACAGTGCCACAACATCGTTGAGCATCGCAATCCCCTTCGGTGGGTTATCAGGCTGCAGACACACTGGCAGAGTGGCAGAGATGGGGATAGAAGCACTGCCTCCTCAGATAAACACTGCTTACAATGGAGAAAACAGGAGAATGTGACATTAATAGGGAGCAAAGAGTGGGACAAAAGAGAAAAGAACAAAGGGTGATTTGAAAAACCCCCCCAACTTAGACTGCAAAAGAGAGCAGAGCTAATAAGGGAGGAAATAAAAGATGGCAACTCGTGAGATAAACTCTGTCAGACCAGTCCGAGTTTTAAACTTTCAGTTTTTGGAGACGCAAGTTATTCCCAACTAAATGTCAGTGCTGCTTCTCCTCTTGTCCTTTTGTCCTGTCTTCTTTAACGGTCTGTGTGTGTCTGTATTAGAGGGACTTAAAAAAAAAAAGAAAAATGAAATAAAGGACCAAATCTCTCCATGTTTGTGTACGCGCGCACGAAAGAGAGAAAGAGCGTCTGGATGTGCAGATAGATCATGGAGTGCATTGCAGAGCCCTTTCTGTGGCTAGTTCTGTGGATACAGAAGAAAAGGGGAATTCATTTCAGTGCTTAGGAGCTTGTGTGTACGCCTGTATGTGTGCTGGCTGCCGATAGGAGCACAGCGGCACATGGCGGTGCAGCTGCAGAGGGCTGATAGCGCTATCTGATTGTGAGCGTGCCGTCTCCCTCTAAGGCTCGCTCAGGAGAGAATGGAACGGAAGATCAAGGATGACAGCGAAAAAATGGCATTTTATCTCAAAATAGTTCAAAGTTTATAAATAAAATAACGCTTTTCACTGGGACTGGGAGAAGGAGATAAAACGCCAGCTCGCTCTAGCTTCAGCCACCTTCTCGCCAATGTCTTGTCCTCTCTCTACTTCCTTTCCTTTCCTCTTTTTTTTGCTCCTCCTTTTTTCCCCCTTTTTTCCCTCCCAAAACTAATTTAGAAAGAGAAGCATTTTGGAGTTGTAATAATAAACCTGCATGCAGAGGTTAGAGTGGAGGCTGTTGAAATGCATCTCTTTTCCTGCGTGTGTACACACAACCACACATGGAACGAATGCTTGTCATGACTGTGCATTGTTAGCATGTTGCCACAGCTCATTCTTGATTTCAAGGACTTCAGTCATCAAGGAGGACATTTCAGAACCCGTGAAAGATGTGAACAAGCGATCAAAAGACAAAACTCTAGTAGTGTGTTTCTCTGTGGATGGTCCTCAAACAAACATGCTTTTCTGTGTGTGTGTGGAACATCTTATTTTACTAGACCCGTTTATTTTCTTCTCTTGTCTATAGGTGAACTTCCAGTTGGCCAATGTCATGGACCTGTTCACCACTAGTCTGGTTCTCGCTGGCATCAACCCTCCTGATGATCGAATCCTAGACGGACTGGACCTAACACCTGTTTTGCTCAACTGCTCCCAGCCACTCAAAAACAGGTGA